CATAGTAACCATGTTTGAAAGCAAACTGAATAAAATAATGAAGTTCAATTATCTAACAACCTAATGATGAGCTTAATGATGAAGGATAAAAATAAAAAGAGAACTTTAATTAAAAAAAGCAATGGAAAAAAAAACATGAGTTAACTTGCTAATCCTCTGACCATGGACACAAGATCGAGATAACCTTATAGAAAGAAAAGGAAAAAAAAAGTATGAAGACTAATTTCTAATAAATAAAATGTTGAAGGATAAAATTGTAATAAATCAATTTAAAAAAGGACAAAAAAGGTCAACTTGCGTTAAACTTTGAAATCGGTAACTTTGATCATGAACCTGAGACTAACCCCATAGAATGCAAACCGTACAAAATAACAAAGAAAAAAAAAGATGAAAATAAGAAAACATAAAGCTTAGAAAAAAGAGAGGAAAAATCAAGCAAACCCGAATGATCCTTTTGAATCCGGTCTAATCTCTAAAACTCGCAACGTGGAAAATCTTGGATCCAGGTTTAATCAAGAAGTTTAACCACTAATCAATTTAATTTTAAACGATGAAATTGTGAAAAAAATATCAATATAAAAAACTTGTCAAAGCAAAAGGATAACAATAAAAAAAAATTGATAGAAAAAAAACCCAAGGAAGAATAAATTATAAAAGAAAAACAATCTAAAAAATAATCCCAAGCAAAGTAAATTGCAATAAAAAAACAATGGGTGAAATTGAAAAGCACTTGTTATTTAATAGATTATTCAAAAATTTAAAAAATAGTAATAAAAATAACAATGACCAAGTGTGAAAGAAACATAAATTGTAGGGGTCGGTATGATTTTTTGTAGGGGTTGATGTTAAACTAGAGAAAGAGAAAAATAAAAATAAGTGGTTGTTGCACGTGCCAAACTAGAGGTACCTTCATGCCACCCCATCATGGAAATCAGCGTTTAGTGGTTGGACAAACCCACACGCGCCGCTCAAAGGGCATAGTGGCTATCCATTCATTGGAGCGTGCATATGATTTGTTTTTAATAAATATTTAACATATGATCATCAATTACAATAATGTCCTTGAGTAACCTTTAAATTAACAATAAAACCAATGATAAAGGACAAAAAAAAAATCCTTATGAGAGAGTTATGTTGACTATGTCTTCACGATTAACAAAGTAATTTAACTATTTTAAAAAAATTGAGAAGACCATAACCCTTTTGATTGAAAGGCATTATATTTTTTTTTGTAGGGGTAAATTAGTAAATTTACCATGCAAAAAATGAATTTACTAACCTCACCCCGCAACAATTATATCATAGAGGAAAATACGACATTGCTTCCAATGTTTAGCGTGAAGGCTTTTTGGGCCAGGGGCAATTTCATCTAATCATGATTTCTATGAATAGTGATGTGTTCCTAGAGCTACATTAACAACTTCTACTTCTTGTTTAGGTTTTCGTTAATAAACATAAACCTTTGTATCTTCTTTCACTTAAGCATGCAATTATGAGAATCATTTGATGATTGTTTTCAATTCGTGTGACAAACAAACTAGGTAACCCTAATTAAGACTTGAAGGATATATTCCAGGATTTTTTTCTCCACTGATGAGTTTACTGCCTCTTGCAGGTCACCATCCCCACCTCGAGCAAGGTCTAGATCCAAGTCGAGATCACCAATTAATTATCAAAGAAGGTTGAGGTCACCTTCTTACTCACCTCCATCTCGCCGCAATAGAGACCGTAGATCTAGGTCTCCCTTGAGATTTCGCTATCACTCAAGGTATAACTATGGAAGGCGATCATATAGAGATAGTAGAGATATTGTTGATAGAATGAGAAGGCAGGATTCGGATAGATCACGTGGTCGTCATTCACCTGTTTCAAGGAGAAGTAGAAGCAGGAGTGCAAGCCCTCGAACAAGAAAGTCCTACATGGATGATTCAGGCTCGCCAAAACATCGCCAAGAAAGCTCAGCTCAAAGATCAAGAAAAGCAGCAGACAGTGGTTCAAGATCACCTAGGAGTCATGGGGGACGTCGATTATTCCGAAGGAATATCACAGATAACAAACTCAGATACAGAAGGCACTCACGCTCTAGGTCCAAATCTGTGGAAGAGTCCAATGACAGAGTGAATGAAATCCAAGACAAAAAGTCAAAGCAACACGAGAGGAGATCTAGGTCATTATCTGTGGAGCTTAAACACCATGGCAGGAGGCCATCTCATAGAAGTTCAGATGAAGATGAATCGAATCACAGAAGCCGGTCCAGGTCAAAATCTGTGGAAGTTAAACGCCATTCCTATGAGAAAGTGGACAAAACTGAGGACGGGAGGCTGAAGCATCGTGATAGGAGGTCCAGGTCAAAATCTGTTGATGATAGGCACTGTTACAAGGAGAGAGGAAATGAAAGCAGGGATAAAAAAACAAAGCATCGAGATAGAGTGCGGACTAGGTCAGTATCTGCTGAGTCAAATCATCACAGAAGAAGTAGGTCATCCCCAAAAGGTAGGGATGAGAGCAAGTCAAAGCACAGACAGCGCTCCAGGCCAATATCTCCAGAAGGCAAGCGGCGTTCCAATCACAGGATAGGTGAAAATAAAGATGAAAAGTCTAAGCACTGCAGTAGACGAAGGTCAGTATCAGCTGAAGGTAAACATATCAGATCTCCAAGAAGTTCAGAGGAAAATAAATCAAAACGTAGGAGGCACTCTAGATCAAAATCTGCAGAACGCAAGCGCCACTCAAAAGATGAGGAGATAGAAATAGAAGAAAATGAAACTCGTCATGAGCATACATCGGACAAAACAGAAGATGCCAATGAGGAAGAAAATTCTTTCACGAACAAAGAAAAATGTAAAGATTGTGATTCAAAGGAACAGGTGGAAGACATGGTAATGGGGGGCAAATGTGTGCTGAATTTAAGCAATGAAGAACCATTGTTACTGAAAGCTGAGCATCCCACAGCTGAACTGGAATGGTAATGACTACCACTGTGAGAAAAAATATTTTTCAATGTTGTTGTTGACCTTTAATTAGCTTAGATCCTTTGCCTGGTTTACAGAATTTGAAGAGCGTTAGAGAACCAAAGTTAATTCTTGAGGACAGCAGAGTCTAGAAGGCTCGGTAGAGAAGCTGTATTTCATAGGCGGCTGTGTTTGTGCCATGCTTCAATCTGAGAAGATCCAATCTGAGAAGCTCGCAGAGATGCATGAACTTAAATACTGCAGAATCAGCCTTTGCTTGCATGATGGGCGATTCTTATAGAAGAATTTTTGAATGTTCTTTGGTTGTTGGATTTTTCTGCCAGCTTTGGCTCCTCGTAAATATGAGCACTTTGTGTTTGTTTATCTTTTGCAGGTTCACTTGTAACATGTTGGAACTAGAGTCTTTAAGGCCCGAGCTGACTCATGATAAGGATTATATGTTTCAAACGGTGTTCTGCTGTCATCTGCATCAACCATTCAATCTTTCTAGCAAGCTTCTATTACTGCTAGATGTATGTCGGACTATTACTACCTCTATTGCTAACTGTGGACTTTTTTTTTTGATGAAAATGTTTATTTGAGGAATTATTTCTATTTTCAGTTATCTTTCTTCTTGCTTCTTTTAAATTTAGCGTGATAATGTATATATATATATATATATATATATATATATATATATATGATTTCATATACATCTTTAGTCTTAGGTCCTTTGATGGGGTGGTATAAAGTAATGTTTTATTACATAATTGCAGTGGCATTTAACTAGTGAACCTGCTATATTACTGTTTTTTGGATCATAAGCATGATCGGCGCATGAAGAAATGAAACCTTGCTGTAGTTCTGGTGTTCATACCCAACCTACATGATTTAGTGCTATTTCCATGTACAGATTTCATCTCCTTCCATCATTGTTCAAAGTGTAAACCTATAGTATATGTGGTAGATAGGTTGATAATAGGTTAAGCATTTATTTATGTTTGATGGTGTGGTGGGCGGTCATACCCCAAATACATGCAGGTTATATGTGATGTTTCTGTTGGAGCTGCGGAGATCAATGACAGGATTGTTGATATTTACTGATGTAAATGAAGGTATGCAGTCAGTAGAGTGAGACACCTATCTGTTAAGCCTTCCACCAGTCATGGAATTTTGGGACTGTTGTTAATAACTCAATTGGATGCATCTGTCTGAAGTCAATACTTGTGCAACTGTAATAATATGTTTTAAAACCTGGTGCCTTATTCCCTTTTCTTTTCCTTTTTCTTCTTCTTCTTCTCCTTCTTCTTCTCCCTTTCTTTCCTCCTTCCAAAGGTGTGTCTGCGTTAGGGAAGCTGCTTTTGAGGTCAAGTGAAACCAGAGTTGCTTGGATGCATAGCGGCAGTTGCACAGTGTTGTGCATGAGCAGATTGGCTGACAAAAATTTTCGGCGAAATGCGAATATTTTTTTTACAGGTAATTTCTATTCATCTGTCAGGATGAGTTCTGTCTCATGATAAAGCTTCACCGATGCTTGTCCCATCCTAGCCATATCTCCCTTGCATGGCAATGCCTAAGCAAAAGAGTGTAGCAGCATCACGCTGTGTAGGAAGAAAATCAACGAAAGGAGTTGGCTCATGAAGAAAACATAGGAATTGCATCATTTTGAGTCTGAAGTAAATCAGTATAATTAAGATAAAATTTTCAGAACAGACATGTAAAATTTTCCAAGTTACCAATTTATGTAATTAACACTGGACATAACTACTAATCTGATAATAATAATAAGAATAATAAAAAGGAAGCCAAATGAAAGCTACGAACAAGCATTGCCTTCTTCCGGATCGTGTTCCACTACCTTATCTGCACTGAAGGAGACATGTTTAACAAACTCTATTCATTACGAGTGATCAGAAAATAGTGCAAAATTTAGAGGGGAAATGTTAGGGATTTACCTGTAAATGTGCATTTACAATTAAAACACTTGAATAAAAAAGGGCGACGGATTCTTCCTTGGGACACATGAATTCACAGAATCCTGTCGAATCTGTTTTGTTACGCGTTTAAAACTTTATTTATAGAAAATATTGTACAGCAAAACTTTGCTTGCTAACCCGTACTTCAAAGGACTAGGCACAAGCTAATATTTGAAGGGATGAACAAGTTATGCTTAATTAAGACAGTAGAATTGCGTTGGGTTTCTAGCGAGCATATTTGTGTGTGTGTGTGTGAACAGTTGAAACTTTGAGAAGAAGCCTTCACACTGGATTGGGCTTTTCATGAAAGCATTTTAGACTAAAACATGATGGGATTAAATATAGGTTTTTATCTTTAGTCTTGATTATCCCAGAAAAATAAGTTCTTTGTTGAAATAAAAAATATTTAAGTTAGTAAATATAAGAGAGAAAAATAATATATAGAAAAGAGAAATATAATGAAGATAATAACGAATGTGTGATTGCTGAATGAACTAGTGTGAAGTTCTTGAATAAGTTTAATTGACGTGAACTTGCTTTAAATGTCTTATATGGTTACCAAAAGTATTTATATACTTTTTTCACGTCATCTTACCTCGTGAAGTGTAAAGAGTAGCGTTGCCAATACTTTGTGATGCTTAGAGTAACAATGGAGAGCGACCTCGTTATAAGTGGAAGGAAATGAAGATTGTTGGTGGAGAGATTGATTCTCATCATTAATTTGTAGTGCTCGTTGTGCTATTGATAAAGAGGTTGGATGCTTCCGCTCTGCATGAGGAGGTATGCAGGTGTGTGCCATTCCTACACAGAAATTTTGCGTGCACAAGGTGTGCATGCAATAAATAGTAGGTGGTGTGTGATTTTTTGGAACTAGAAAAAATACTTTGAGGTCTGTTTTGAGGCTGGTATTGGACAGTTTGAGGTGTACCTGAGTCAGTGATGGAGTCACAACGAAAAAAAGAGTGGGCAATTGCCCCCTTGATCATTTTTTTTTTATAATATTTGTTACATTAAGATTTTAATATAATAATTTAACAAGTTTAATTTTTTTTATCAGTCATTAATTGATCTAAGCTCATCATCTTTCTTTTTAAACTATTATTCTTGTATCTTTTCTTTCTATAAAATTTCTCTTCAACTCCTAAACTATTAATTAGTTAAATAAGTAACATCTTACATATTTTTTTTATTTTTTTGTCTAATTTTAGTTTTATTCCTTTATAATTAGTTATTAAAAATATTAGAATTTATGATAATTTATGAATTTGTTAAGTTAATATATGTATGGATAATATTATATGCATATGAATAAGAATTAAAATCAGTTTTGATGAATTGATATGTATTGTGTTATGAATTTCATATGAAAAATAACGGTGATCAATGTACTAGTGATTAAAAATAAAATACTAGACAACTTAAAAAATTAGGGGCGTGATAAAAAAATTAAAAAAATAAATTAATATTTATATTTAACCCACTTGTATAAAACAACAAGTCAACAAAGAATTGTTGCAAAAAAATTCACTAGTTTCTTGAAGATTTAGAAATATATGAATGAAAATTTGATTGTATATATTGAGAAATAATATCTTTAATGAAATTAAGAATGAAGTGATTATGAAACAGTTTTAAAATATAAAAACTAAAAAAAAACAATTATATTATAAATTTTTTTATTTTAAAAATATTTTTAAATTAATTTTGCTTGACATAAACTAGTACATACATTTTAAATTGATTTTTTATATATAATATATAATATTAAATATTTATTAATAATTTTTCTTTTCATTTAAATTTTTTTGGCTTCACTACTTGTTGGAGTGAATGACCTACTTTAGCAGCTAGAATTTTTTTTGTTTTAAGAAAAATAAATGCACTATCACAAATAAAGGCTTAATTCCTCCAATTTTGAGGAGGGTGAATGGAGTGAAGGTAGAACTAAAGTGTCTCTAGAAAGAGAAGGGTACCAAACGGGTCATTGTAAACTCTTTTTTGTTTCAATATATAATGATCCAGGTTAAGCACCAAACATGGCCAGTTGAACCTGACTGTGTGTTACACTATATTCTGCAGCTCTCCCAAGTCCTACCCATCTTTTTTTTTTTTTTAAGATTAACGTGGATGTTCGGGCCAGCTTGCGCGCACCACGACTAATCCCACGGGCCCTGAAGTTAACGACCATGTAAGCTTCCAGTGGCCATCATATGAGCAACCAAGGACTCGAACCTGAGACTACAAAGGGAGCAAACCCCTTAGTCCCAAATTTTTACCACTTGGCCACCACCTAGATGGTTCCCACCCATCCCTTTTAACATGACTTGTGATTGTTCTAAAGATCAAATAAACTGACCCAACCAGTTAAATAGAAATAATATTATAAATAATAATTTTTATCTTTTATCTTTTATCTTTTTGTTTTTAAATCAAAGTTAGCGGTCGTTCCTTCAATATTTTTGCCTCTTCGAGTTGTATGAGAAATTGAATGCCGTATATTTTTTTAAATTGTTTTTTCTCCTTTTCTTTTATTCTTTTTAGTTTTCATTAATTTATATTAATCTATTTTGTTAAACTTTTTAGTGATTATTTAAGAGAACTAAATGCAATTTTAATATCTATACTTGCCGGCTTTAATAGTTGGTTTTTTTTCCTCTATAGTTTCTTTCTACTTAAGTTTAAAAAATTATTTTGGTAATTTTATCGACCCAACTGAAAATTCTCATTTGAGATAAAAGGATAAGATTAAAAGATATAGGAAACGTTTCGGATTTAATTAATAAGACAATTGAAAGTGAAAATGAATATATTGCAGGAGAGTTGTTTACATGACCCAAGGCCAGTCATTGGAAATACAGAGGATAATTTGGATGCCCTTTATAGCAATCACAAACCTCCACCAAGCAAACAGCATGCAGAGACAAGATTTGACGAGTCAGATTGGATAGGATGCATTATCCTACACTACAAATGCTACTGAACAAATCGTGATAAATGACCTTGCATATATATATATATATAAAATATGCTAGTAATTTCTACTGATAATTATTATACTTGATTCACTAAAACCTGAGGCTAATGCACCTAGTAAATAGTGATAAGCCTATAAGATAGACATGGAATCATCTTCTTGAAAAATTGAAGCTGGCTTGACCTTTCATGGTGCAGAAACAATTTTTTATTTTGATTTTTACTCATCTTGTTTCTCTGTATTTTGCATGTCTGGTTCACTCGCTGAATCTGTCCCCTTTTCCCCTTTCAAAAACATCATTTTCTTCGTAGAAACAACACCATTATTTTCAAGAGCATATGGCCTTGGTGGGCTAGCAAGAAGTTTTCTGTCTTTTTGAGAGGTGAAGGTGGCAAGTTGCAAGCCCCCCGCTGTGTTTACCAATCTGATGAAATCTGACTAAATCGAATAACGGAGACAGTCATGGGAGTAAAGTAAAGGGTTTTTATCATGATATTAAATATCTAAAAATAGAGTTTTTAAAAAAATATTAAAGAATGTGTGCTTATATAAATGCAATCTAAACTTCAATTTTCCATAATTTATTTCTTATTTGCATAGCATGCTTATCGACAATTTCCCTTTACAGCAACAAGAGAACTAATTTTCTAATTTTTGTCATAATAAATATAGGTTTTTCAGTTTTTTTTTATTACATCAAAGAGGTTGGAAGTCAAATTTTTTTGAATGGAGGAGATATCAATATTAATTAAGGGGGGTGTTTGGAGTATAATAGAGTTGTTTTTTAAAGTGTTTTTTTATTTGAAAATATATTAAAATAATATCTTTATTTTATTTTTAAAAATTATTTTTGATATCATTACTTTAAAATAATATGAAAACATAAAATAAGTAATTTGAAATAATTTTTTTAAAATTATTTCAAAAGCTTTTTTAAAACTAAAAAGCAAGCAAATCTAAATTATAACTCATTAGTTCTATAGTTTGACATGAGTATGAAATAAAAAAATAATTAGTTTTTAATAAATAATTAGATTAATATAAATGGAAGACAGGTAGTGTTGTTTTAATACATACTTTTCAAATTTATTTTTTTAAACCATAACCAAAAAAGCCACTACAATAATAAATAAACATTAAATACATTGATAATTAATACTTTATCTCTTAACTAAAAAAAATAGATAAAATGATATATATATATATATATATATATCATTTTATTCTATACCAGGCATGCGGGGCTATGCTCTACGGACAAAGGAATGACGTTGTATTATATTAGGTATGCGGGTCTATGCTCTATGGACAATGCAAATCATATAAAACTTTAATTTGATTTAATAATTATTTACTATATTCCAAAGTTGTATTTCACCGCTTATCATATGACGCATCAATTTGTATTCAATACTCTTTATTTTAATATTCAAACCAGTACTTAACGATGGGAAATAAAACTAAATTATTTTCTTGCAAAGTGATTGAAATAAACAAAATATTTTATATTTCAATTTTTTTTAAAAAACAGAATAATACAAAGAGAGAAGTAGACAAATTGAGGAAGTTTGATCAAGGAAGAAAAATTAGATTATTTGATTATTTCTTATACAAAAAGACTAATTTATAACTAACTTAGAAAATAAAATTATTTAAAAAATAAAAACAAATGAAATCCATTAACATATCTATATTTTTCACAGCGCACGAGAAACGATTCAATATACCAAATACTATATCCTGAACTCTCGTATGATCTCTAAATAATAGTGGCGATGGATTCTATGTTTATTTGAAAGTGGGGAGTCCAGTGCAATGCCGAGTGTGTGCACCAATTTCTGAAAAGATAAAACAAATTGGAGAAGAGTTTGGAGCTCACGTAGGGACTAAATTAAAATTATAATTGAAAATTAGATATTAAATATATGATTGTAAAACAACAAGGACTTATGCTACTTTTACTAGACTAGTGGGACTAAGTTATAATTTACTCCAGAAAACCTTTTAAATAATAATAATAAATAAATAAATAAAACTCACCTATAAAAAACCCACCCAGAATCTATCTCTCTTGTAAAAAACCAGTACACGGGCTTGTAGGAGAGAGAGATGCGTTGCTATGGATTAATGATCCCAGGAAGCGAAACCGCTCGCTTCTATTCATCACCATTGAAGCCTGAGTGGAGCCCAATTCTGCGGTTTAAACCCGTTTCAAGAATCCCGATTGGGTCATTCAAAACCAAAACCACAATCAATGCAAAAATCACCACAGAATGGGGTCAGATGACCTTGTATGAGCTACTGGGCATACCCAAATCTGGGACATTTCCTGAGATAAAACAAGCGTACAAGCAATTGGCTAGAAAGTACCATCCAGATGTTTCACCTCCGGGTCTGGTCGAAGAGTATACCCGGAGGTTTATTCGGGTTCAAGAGGCTTATGAGACTTTATCGGATCCAAGAATGAAAGAGATTTATGATCGTGATATGGCTAGAGGTCTTCATTTAGCTTTCTCTGCTAGGAGACGTTATCCATATCAAAATGATGAGGTATAGTTTTTTCTTTCATATATTTATTTTATCTGTGCATGCAGTTAGTTTTGTGTATTTTTTAATTATTTTTTATTAAGATTTTGATGTGGGTTTTTGGTTTTTTAATTTCAGAGTGATTTTTTGTTGTTGTTGTTGTTATGGCCTGGTTTGAAGTGGGTACGTGTTAGTATTTTTTTTCTCTTCCTTTTGAATTCTCTGGGGTTTTTATTTTCTTTTTCTTTGTAATTTTTTTGATAGATTATCGGTTCTTTTGGGCCTAATTTGGTGTGTTTAATCTTGGTAAATTGATTTCTTTTTGAAAAAAAATGTTGTCAGATTGGGCTCATGGTGTTTTTTGTTTTTTTTTTTAAATAAAAATTATTGGTTGTTTGTGCTAGGTGGCCTAGAAGAAAGGAGGGAACTTTAAAATTATGTGTTCCTGTGTTTAATCAATTGTTGCTGCTGACAAAGTTTAGTAGAAACTCTCAAAGTATTGATTAGTAAAGAATCAGAGAATTAAGTTTTGTTTTCTTCAATCCTTCTGTTTAGATCTTCACTCAACTTTCATCCTCGTGAGAATTTTTGTTTTTGTATTTTAGTGCTTCAATTTCATTGTTTGATTGAATAAACATTTGGAATCTTAATAAGGTTAGATCGCTTTGATTTTGGTAGATAGTGAAGCTGTACATCGGATACTGGGCACTTATGTAATAAAGTACCAATTAAACTGTTCTATGTCATCACTTGATGTTTACTGGTTTTGTTTTTACAATCAGGAAATGGAAGGGAGAAGTGAATGGAAGAATTGCTGGCAGTCTCAGCTATCAGAGCTGAAGAGAAGAAGCACGAACAAGGATGCCGGTGGCAGCAGCATGTCATGGGCAGCTCGAATGAGGAGACGCAGGGAAGGATTATCTGAAGAACTTTAGATAGGTAGGTATATACTTGTCTTTATTGAGATGCTAATTCAAGAACTGTCTGGTTAGCATTGCCATAAGCAGCAATAAAGTTATATCAGCATGCTAACCAAACAGTTATCCGAGATCGGAAATTGTAGAGTTGTTTCCATGACTTACTGCCCATTTTACGCTGTACATAAAGTTCACTGCTATTGCTTGCTCCTTCAAGTGTTATCTCCACTGCTGAAGCTAGAATTAGTGTCTGAAACATATCAAGTTTTGAAGCATCTCTCTTTCATTTCATTCCTCCTTCCCCTATCTTTTAATTTCTCTGGTGTTTTGTGTCTGCTGCGTGCTGAAGTTCATGTAAACATGATGGCTGTAATGTTTCGTGGAGAATGCTTTCGAAATGCATGGATCTATGAAACTTGAGCTTGTCTTTCATTGGAGGCTGCTATTATTCGCGTTTTCTTCTTAGCAAAAATTATAGGCAAAGAATCTTGATTCAGTGTTTTCCATTCTCTCCTGGATTTCCTTGGAGATTTAATTTTATATGTAATTAGTGGTATAGATGAATATATGTTGGCCGGACTCTGCATAGTGATCGGCATCCTTATCTGAGGTCCTGCTGGTTCCCTTTGACCAAGTTCACACTTATCTTAGATGTAGTTAATCATGTGAAGCAATGGTTAACAATATTTCTATATTTGGTTGTGTAATTTTCAAGCTTTAATGTAATGAACTGTTGCTATATTAGCGATTCGTTACGTTACAAGTATCGCATAAAATATTGTAATCATACAAGGATTTATAACTGCAAAAGTGATTTACATCACATGTGTCAGCCGCCTTCTGGCGGTGTGTGAGGCTAACTACAATGATTTTTATCATATCATTTTATTTATTTTGATGTTTTTTGGGGTCAGAAAACATACTAAGACGACAATGCATTTAATTGATATGATATGGGCACAACTACGTTATATTTTGAATTGCTAAATATAATATTATCTTTCATGATTTTGTGACTTATTTAAATTAACTTTATTTTCAGGGGTAAAAAAATTTATTTTTTTGATAAAAGATAAGCTTTGCAATAAATAAAAATACATTTATAGTAGACAATTTTGGCTTTGAATATCATGCTTATCTATATTTTATTTTTACCAGAAAATTTTCTTTCCCTTTTTTATAATTTCATCTGTGTGGGCGCTTGTTCATAATAATTTTCATGATTTATAATTATGATTTACAAAAACATTAAAACAATATACATTTTTATTTTTTAATTATGACCAATAATCATGCGCAAGTTGATGATTTATATAGTTAAATACGTGCATGGTTTTAAAATTTATTATCTAGTTTATTTCTAAAAAAAAAAAATCATGAAGGAGACAATCATTTTTTTGGCTAAATAAAATGTATTTCTTGCCGTGAACCTCCGGTTATATGACCATGAGGAGCTAAGACAGGGAAATATTTGTCTTGTTAGGATCACTCGGGTACAAAAAAATAAAAAAAAATACTTTAAATCATAATTATTATTGTGTTTTTAAATACTATTTTCATAAATAAATAGATATTATTAATGACCGATGATGGTTCAACACCTGTTTAATATTGCGTTTTAAATAAGGGGGGCTAAAATTTAATTTTTTTGGATTGTCTAATAAAAAATTATTATTTTAATATATTTTAAAATAAAAAATAATCATTATAAAACTTTACCACCGGGAAAAAATCCAAAGAAAAAAGATTATTGAAGGTGCGGTTGGAGTTGATTTGTGGGCCATTCTTGGAAGCCATGATTGAAACATCTAGCTACTTGGTGGAGAGAAAAGTCCCGGCATGTTCAAGGCAAGTTGTAGAACAAGCCTCGGGCCGACAGTGGGACCCTTTTACTGATTCAACAACCTAGGTCAGCATGACTTCTCTTCCAAGATATTATCCTTTCTAGGAATCTAAACTGGCTTTAGAATCTCTGATTGGAAACTATTATTCAAGTTGCTGCATGTACTCGGGATTGACGGGATTACCTCAAAAACGATGTTTTTTCAATTTCTTTTTTTTTTTAATGAAATATGCTCCACGGGATAAAAATTAAAAATAAAATAAATAAATGATGTTATCATGAACAAAACGGGGGTTTTGTTCCCCTTTTACATTCTTTTTAAACGTCGTTAAAAAATTAATTAGGAAAAAAAGCGTACTTAATGAGTTGTATTGTAGATAATTACGCATTAATAGCGTCTTCCCATTAAACATTTGTTGCTATACTTAATTTATTAATTAAGTTACTAGAACAATGCAATTTATCGGATATTTATGTGCTATTTTTTAAATATTTTTTAATGTGCTATTTAAAAAATACTTTTTTTAATATTTACCAAAAATAAATATCTGTAAAAATCGAGTCTGAGTTTTCATACATGCTGTACATATAAGTAATTCTAATTTTATTTGTTTTTCATGATTGATCATGTTTAAGGGTTTTTTTTTTATTTCTTTTTTTATAATACACCCCTAAAAATTGATCGTGCTCAAGTTTTGCTTAGCCTGCTAAGTGCTTGAGTTATCAAGTCATGAATCAATTCATTGGGTTAGGGATTGACACTCTAAATTAATAATATATGAAAATTTTATAATCTATTGCTCGCATGTGTTCATGATGGGTTGACACTTTTTCAAAGAGACAAGACACCAACATAAGCGTTAATTATTGTGCGAGTGCCGTGCAACCTAAAGAGTTAGGTTTTATGTCTTAAAAATATTTTTTAATTATTTTCAATAAATTAATATTAAACATAAATTTAAAAAATATTATTTAAATATATCTTCACTTTAAAAAACACTTTAAAACGTACCCGTGATATCAAACAGCGTCCGCAGAAGGTTGGTTGCTTCATGACGGGTGATTAATCGTAATAATTGCACTAGTTATTTCCATAAAGTAAATTTATCCTTTCGATTTTTCTTGGAGGAAGCAGGCATGATTATTTTTTCAAAGAAAATCCACCAGGAAATTATGGCTGCGCAGGAGAACTGATGAAGATGGTGGATTGCCTTTAACAAATTTTGATGGGTTACAGGCCAGCTCAAGAAAATGATCTTGCCTTAACCTAATCCATGAGGATAAACCTCGTAAAGCTCTTAATTCCAGCAATAAAGACGAGGGAGTTACTGATACATGAACTTGAGTACTCCGAGACTTTCTACTAGGTGAATTTCTTACATATTTTATTTATGTTTGGAGAGACAAAGCATAGCATTAGCAGACAATATGCAGGTCCTAAAAAACTGAAGCTTGAACGCTACTACACACAGTACTGCTGATTTCAGGCAATATTTAATCAGCCTTGTAGTCATTCAGGAATCGATGTCATCTTCAAGAACCAGACCATTTTTTCGCAGCTCAAATCTGAGCTTCACCACCTCATTTTCAGGCAGAGTTACCACCACGATCCTTCCAATGTTGCCATCCGTGCCTGAATCTTTTGGCCATGGAAGTACCATAACAGCTCCTTCATCTCCAACACCTTGGATGCTATAGTGCACAGCTTCTGGTTTATGTCCATTCCATTCCAGTCCATAAAAATTAGTCTCTTCTAAATCCACAAATGTCAAATTTGCACCGTACACAACGTAATCAATTACTCCATTATCCTTTTCCACCGCCTCCTCAATTTGGCTATTCTCCTCTGTGGCTTGATCAACCAGCAACGTGGCCAGTTCTTTCAAATCTGCGTCCACAACTGAGGAATCTGCCTTGACTGAACTTATAATTTGACTGTTGCTCAAAATCCCATCTTTAGGGTTGTTGGGATCTTTCTTGCAGAGGGTGACAACTTGAGGCTCAAGCCCATCTTTACCTTTGGCTATGCATTGCCACATTATAGCACATAGCGACTCGAAAAATGGGATCTTGGCAAGTCCACTCCGACCCCAAATCCTTGAGTGTAATTGAGATACTTGTGAAGCAGATAAATGGAATGAAAATGTTTCCATTTTGCGGTTATTGGCAGTTACCCAAAGGTCGCCAACCGGGTCGACCTGTTTCAGAGAAACGGGTTCCTTGGTACCCACAGATGGGCTCTTGGAACGTTCAAGCCCAGTGGGTGATTTTGTGAGTTTCAAAGGCCCATACGACTTAACACCAGCCAGGAATTGGCCCCAGGAATTGAGGCACTCTGAAGCTGAAAACACATCTCCAATTACATGGGCCCAGCTTATGCCCAAGGACATTCCTCCACATTTGAACTTGGTTACCTTAAACAAGAAAAGGTCTTAGAAGACCAAACTATATAATTATATAATGGGGTAATCACAATAACTTCCATGAGGTATATCTCATTTAGCGTTGTTTGTCTATTAAAAAATAACAAACATTAATCACAATCGTCTTTAATATATTTTTAAACAAAAAAATACTTTTAAAAAGTAAATAACTGTAACACAATTCCAAATAATAAATAAATAAAGAGAAAAATGAACATGTTTAGAATAATTAAACGAGTTAAACATTAATTACCTGCATGTAAAGCGAAGGAGAGAAAAATAATTCAGGACCAATAGGTGAATGGTAAATAAGAAGATTGTCAAGAGAACAATCCCTTGTTTCTAGCCATTCATCGACAGTCTTGCTGCACCGAGCCTCTACAATCCTCACACCAGAGTCACTACATTTCATGTATGGCCGTCCAGCCTCCGTTCGCTGGAAGCGGCCACAAACTGTGTAGTAGTCGTTAAGCCAGTAAAACATGCTTCCCTTAATTTGCATAATGGTCAATCCTTGGCATGCTTGGCTGCTAAAAAAATAGACACCTTTCAGATAGGGAAGCTTCATGGCCAAGTCCATGCCACTGAGCTCGTGAATCACGTCCGAACCAGTAGGACGACCCGGCACAGCAGATGATAGTTTAATGTCATAGACCAAATTTTGATCATCCTTGCAAGAAACCATGTTTGAAGAGGAGAAAACAATGGAGGGAGGTGGCAGACGGAGGGAGAAGAGTATGATGGGATATATTTGTAGCAATGCCTCAGCCTACCAGCTAGGCTGCTTTATACTGGGAAAGAGGACACCGGAGTTTTTTCAGGCAGGTAAGAATTTTAATGCGGGATGCCATATGTGTTATTGCTATTGGTTGGTGTGAGAAGCCGTTTGGTACTCTGTTTTTGCATTTAAAATGTCGAGTAAATCTAAGATACTTTAAAGAGGATAAAAATATTTAGTTATCGTGTTATTACTTTTTTTTTAAAAAGATAAATGAGACGAAAATAATAAAAATACGAGAGATATGTCTTTTTTTATTTTTTATTTTAAGAGTATATAAATTTATTTTATGTTTTTTTCCCTTTGTTTGTTTAAATAAATATATTTTTATTTTTTTATATTTGTCATTTCTGCCATGAAGCATTAATGAAACACACCTTATGATTTTAAATGAAAAAATAGAGAGAGAAAACACATGATTAAAAAAATATTTTTTTGTTAAAAAATTAATACCTTTATATATATATATATATATATATATATATGCATGATGGTAAAGAAATTTGATGTTTTCACATTTATTATATATTTAACTGGGAATATAATTATTTTTTTATATTTTTTAGTATAGTAAAATAATCTATATTTAAGAGGGGTGTTTTTGTTTTTTCATTTATTAAAATACAATTGAATGATAAGCCTATACTTGATATCAAAAAAATCAAACCATGTATTTAGGAATTTTTTGATCTTTTCACATTGTATTTTTTTTATAAATTTCATGACTACCGAGAGCAATTTCATATTTTAAGGTCAATTAACTAATTTTTAATGTAAATAATTGTTGGCGTGTGGGAGGAGCCCACACGCTTTGAGTGACGTTTTCAATAATAAAAAATATTTTTTTATTGTGTCCTTATATGTTTTTTTTATATGTTTTTTTTTTTGATGGTATGACTTATATTGATGGAAATGAAGTGGTTTATTGTTGGTCCTCCCGCATGCTTTGAACGGCGTTTTCAATGATAAAAAATATTTTTTTGTTGTGTTTTTATATATTTTTTTTTTGATAGTGTGACTTGTATTGATGAAAATGAAATGGTTCATTGTTGATAGATTTTTTTGTTTTTTGTTTTTATTTTTTTCCTAGAATTATAGGTTGGTTTATATATATATATATATATATTTTAACTTCAGTTTTTATTGTTTTAATTTCATGAGAATTATAGGTTGGTTCACGCATCTTTGCCACTAACTTAGAAGATGGGATAAATTGAATTTTGGAACTGGCATTGATTGTGTAGGTGCTAAAAGAGGGGTCCTCTGGATTTAGATGTCTACGTATATAACGTTACTCTTTAAGGTTTTATATTCTTATATTTCCAGCAGCATTTAGGTGGCTTTCTCCTTTTGGAGTCCTCGAGTTAAGTACATGTACTTTGTAGTATTTCTTGTTCGTAATTGAAATTCTTGACTCGAAAAAACGATTATTTTTTGAAAAACAACTCAATTCCGACAACTCATCACTTCAATAACTGAAAAAGGAAGGAAATACTAATTTATTTATTAACGAACACAAAATCATAAAAATTATCAAATTATTTGTGATACTAAAGGCATTAATTGATTCATTTCAGTGAATCAAAGGCACTAATTGATAATGAACTCTCAAAATTAAGAAAAAAAATAAAAATAAAGAAGAAGAGTATTTGTATTGATAGAGGGTTTGAAAATACCATGTAAATTATATTTAAATTTTTTATTTAAAATAATTTTTTATGTTTTAATATAATTTTGATGTGCTATCTTAGTAATAATTTTGAAAAAATAAAAAAATTATTTTAATATATTTTAAATTATCACCTTGCTACAGTTACAAAGACGGCGATAGCCTGCATGACTGATGGTACTATTATCTTGTGTTATTATGGGCAGAATTTGGAAAGTCCATATTATTATTACCTAACATCGTGTTAATTTAAATTATAAAAAGAGCCCCCACACTCTCCTTCCTCTTGATTGTCAATCATGGTTGTTTGTTTCTTCAACGGGTTTTGTTGAAGTTAATGACTCCATGGCTTTTTTTGATGCTGGATCATCATCATCATCATCAAATGAGGGTTTTGCTTCTTCTGAAAAACACATGGTGGGACTGCACTGAGTGTACACCCACCACCAAAAACATCTATTTTCCTTAATGGTTGATTCAATCTTATCTAATCAAGAAATATCTGTTAAATAATATTTATGTAGTCTTATTTGTTAAGGGTAGAATAATACTTTCAGTTTAATCTATATATACTTTATTTGTATTTAGGTTAAGGTTAAACATCCATAATATACAGATTATTCATAATTCTAGCCTCCTTTTTGTGTTTGATCTTAATTATTTTAACATGGTATCAAAGCTGGTTTTATGAAACGAGGCTTAATCTCGAACACAGTTTCGCGGATCTAACTTTTTTGGAGTGAGATTTTGTCTTCCGCTTCTGCAAAATTTAGTATTTCATCAATTTCTGTAATTATTTTGGTATTTTGTCTTCCCTTCCACTTTTGCAATTTGGTATTTGCGTTCAGTTTCTGCAAATTTGTTTTGTGTTTTGGAGTAATCATATAGTAGTGAGAAGATATTTGTTTAGTTTTTGAATTTTTGTTCAGTTTCTGCAATTTGGTATTTGGTTTTCTGCTACTTTTGTATTCTAGTTTTTTGTAATTGTTGATTATGGCTACTGAAAGAGATGATTCGCTTCAGTCTGTGAGTGTGAGGTTGGATGGGAAGAACTATTCATATTGGAGCTATGTCATGAGAAATTTTCTTAAAGGTAAGAAGATGTGGGGGTATGTTAGTGGAACTTATATGATACCGACGAACATTGAGGAGAGGGATGTTGTTTTGATAGATACATGGGAGGTAAATAATGCAAAGATCATTACTTGGATCAACAATTCTGTTGAACATTCGATAGGCACGCAATTGGTGAAGTATGAAACAACAAAAGAGGTTTGGGATCATCTACAAAGGTTATTCACGCAATCAAATTTTGTAAAACAATATCAATTAAAGAATGACATACGAGCTCTTCATCAAAAGAATATGAGTATTTAAGAGTTTTATTCTGCTATGACAGATCTTTGGGATCAATTAGCTCTTACAGAATCGGCAGAATTAAAGGCATATGGTGCCTATATTGAGCGTAGAGAGCAGCAACGATTAGTACAGTTTTTTAACATCACTTCGCAGTGACTTTGAAGGACTTAGAGGTTCAATTGTACATCGTTCTTCACTGTCTTGTATTGACTCTGTTGTGAGTGAGTTATTGGCTGAAGAAATACGTCTTCAATCTTATTCTGAAAAGGAAATTCTTTCTGCTTCGAATCCTTCAGTACTAGCAGTACCTTCTAAGCCAATCTCTAATAATCAGAAAAAACCTTACACAAGGGTTAGCTTCGATGAGTGCAGTTTCTGTAAGCAGAAAGGTCATTGGAAGACTCAGTGTCCTAAGTTGAGACAACAGAATCAAGCTTGGAAGTTTGACAGTTAGTCACAACCTATTGCTCATAGACCACCTCAGGGTTATAAACCATCACACCATAATACTGCAGCAGTAATTTCCCCAAGCTCTATTACTGATCCCAATACTTTGGCTGAGCAATTTCAGAAGTTTCTCTCCTTGCAGCCACAAGCAATGCCCGCTTCTTCTTTTATAGGTCAGTTGCCTCATAGTTCCTCAGGTATATCACACTCTGAATGGATCTTGGATTCTGGTGCTTCTCATCATATGTCTCCAGATTCCTCATCTTTTACCTTTGTGTCCCCTTTGTCCTCCATTCCTGTTATGACTGCCGATGGCACTCCTATGCCCTTAGCAGGTGTTGGTTCTGTTGTCACACCTCACTTGTCTCTCCCTAATGTTTATCTTATTCCAAAACTCAAATTGAATCTTGCGTCTGTTGGTCAAATATATGATTCTAGTGATTATTTAGTCATGTTTTCGGGTTCTTTTTGTCATGTACAGGATCTGCAGTTTTAAAAGCTGATTGGGACAGGCCGTAGGGAGAATGGACTATATATTTTGGATGAGTTAAAAGTGCCAATTGCTACTGCCGCTGCTGCTGCTACTACTGTTGATTGTCTTCCTTTCGTTTAAGTCTTTCATCTTCTAGTTTTTATTTATGACATTCCCATCTAGGTCATGTTTCGTCTTCTCGTTTGAGATTTTTGGCATCCTTAGGAGCTTTAGGAAATTTAAAAACTTGTAACATTTCTGATTATAGTGGATGTAAACTGGCAAAATTTTCTGCTTTACCTTTTAATCGAAGTATTTCTGTTTCTTCTTCACCATTTGATTTGATTCATTCTGATATATGGGGACCTTCTCCTATTACCACAAAAGGAGGGTCTCGATATTATGTCTCTTTTATTGATGATCATACTCATTATTGTTGGGTTTATTTAATGAAACATCGTTCTGAATTCTTTGAGATATATACAGCTTTTCAAGCTCTTATCAAAACTCAACATTCTGCCATGATTAAATGCTTTAGGTGTGATTTGAGTGGGGAATACACCTCTAATAAATTTTGCCAATTGCTTGTCTTAGATGGAACCATCCACCAAACTTCATGTATAGATACTTCTGAGCAAAATGGTGTTGTTGAAAGAAAACTTAGGCATATTGTCGAAACTGCTTGTTGTCTGCTTCTGTTCCTAGTGAGTTTTGGGGAGAAGCTATTCTTACTGCAGTAAGTTTGATTAATATAATTCTATTTTCTCATAGTTCGGGTCTATCTCGTGTTGAAAAGTTATATGGGTATGTCCCTGATTATTCCTCATTTAGATTCTTTGGTTGTACATGTTTCGTTCTTCGTCCTCAGGTAGAACGCAGTAAGTTATCCTCTCAATCCGCTGTTTGTGTCTTTCTGGGTTATGGTGAAGATAAAAAGGGGTATCCTTATTTTGATCCAATAACTCAGAAACTTTATGTGTCTCGTCATGTTATCTTTCTTGAGCACATACCTTTATTTTCTATTTCATCCACTACTCATAACATGACTAAATCTGATATTATTCATATAGATCCCTTTTTTGAGGATTCTGGTAATGATACCTCTCCCCATGTTCGATCAATTTGTACTCATAACTCTACAGGTACTGGTATTTTACT